TAATTTTATAAATCGCAAAACTTAGTAACGAACAGCTAAAGTAATTTAGATGAAAACCGAACAAAGTTTATACAACTTTCATCAACTCTAAAAAGATTATGTAATCTACTATCAGGAAAAAAGAGAAGGTAAAAGTACTGCTTCGTGATTAAGAGTTTAATAAATTTAAAAAAGTGGGAACATAGGAATGCAATAAATTATAAAAAAATATTTTCATATTAGAAATTAAATTGAGATTAATTCATTAATATATTATATATATATATATATATATATATATATATATTAAATATATATTAGTTTATTAACAAGTAAAATTTTAAATTATTATATTATGATAATATAAAATTTTGTATTTACGAGACATTTTATAATATTACGATTTTTAAAAAATATTATAAAAAATATTAGAAATATTTTTACATTATATTATATATATTAAAGCATTATATATTTTTAAAATAATATCTTTGAATTAAATTTTAGTAGAAAATCATTTATTTTGTACATTTTTGTCTCTATTATATTTGCTCTTTGGTTATGTTCTAAGTGCGATTAATTTTTATGCATTAGCAATTGATTTACATCTATGCAAAATTATTTCGAATATTATCATTAAAGTAAAATTAATTAAATTTTGATAATCAAGCTTATAAATCTGTCTCAATTATTGCTCTCTTTTGCGTTTGTTAGAAAGATATATAATTGATAAAGTATCATACACATATATATATATATATTATATAATATATATATATATATATATGTGTGTGTGTGTGTGTGTATGTATATAAGTTGTATTATATAAGTATATAAATATTTAAATTTCTCTATTACCAATTACCATATGTCACATATGTGACTTTTATAGTGTCAAGTAAGGTTAATTAAATTTCTCCGTAACATCAGATCCACTATACTTGAGGTTCCATGAATATAATTAATATTTATTTTCCTCAGAATAGTCTTATAAACATATTAGATTAATTACAATTTAGTACTCTTGCTTCGAAATGATATCATCATTGTTACTTTCTTTTATCAATGTGCTATGTATCTTATAAGTTTTATATATTTTGATTCATATATACAAGATAGATAAAAGATGAAATGTAATATAATATAATATAATATAATATATGCTAATTAACGAATCATAAATTTAACAAATATCGTCATACGGTATCAGATGTTTTAAGCCAAGCGTTATATACAATATAATGCTTGGCTCAAAACATGCATTCTTATTTGATATTTAAATAATTATGAGTAATATACGATTTTTCTTATATATGAAAAAATAAATTATGATCTATTTACTGTTGAATAGCATGCAATTAATTGCAATTAGATGATTTTTCGCCATAACAGATCATTAAAAATCAAATATACAGATTTAAATCTGTATAGATTTATCTGTATGTATTACATAATTAAAATGTATAACAAGAATATGAATAACAAAAAATATTATTTTGCCAGCATATAGTATCTATCATTTTCTTATTTTTTATATAACAATTTATTGCAATAAAAATGCATCATAAATCTAAAAATACATAATAAATCTATAAATATCAAATAAAAATTAAAGTAATATTTAAAATATAAAGATATTATAAGGTTACTATTTTGACAAGTTTGTTCTAATGTTTATATATATACTTAGTGATGTATAACTAATGCGCATAAAGCGATATTAATAGCATATTATACCGGAAACCGCATAATATATAGATCTTGTTGCCGGTAATTCCCCTATCTTTTCTGCATATACTTTTCGGGATATATTTTATTTCACAATTTATTTTTAATGTAACCTTAATTTTTATGAATATTCTAAACATAATATTCAATTTTAGAATTAACACATTTTCTCTAAGAAAATTGAAATTATTATTTTAATACTTATAATAATTATAATTTTAATATATAATAATTATAATTTTATATTTATTTAATTTTATTTTTTATTAGTTTTAAATTGGCTAAAATTGACACTTGATGAATAAATTGCATAAAAATTGCATAATTTAGAATATTCATAAAAATATATTAAGGCTACATTAAAAATAAATTGTAAAATAAAATATATCCCGAAAAGTATATGCAGAAAAGATAGAGGAATTACCGACAACATGAATAAATTGCATAAAATTGCATAAAAATGTGCTAAAAAATTTTTGCAAAATAGTCCGCTGCTGTTTAAGTAATGAAGAAACTAAACATTAGTGAACTCATACACATACCCCTCTTCTTAGCGCGTGCACAATCAGTTGGGATCCCCAGCTGGTGAGAGTGAGCTTGGTAGCATGGAAACCGTTCAGTGCCACTTTTTCCTTCATAGAGTTCACATATTAAATAACTAGTGTTAGTCCAGCAATTTTTAATACCATTAATAGCATTATTAATTCGTCGTATAGTATAATATGCGCTGTATAATTAAAGCGTTTTTATAAAATAATATTAATATCTAAAATTGTTAAGAAGCCATAATTTTCACATATCGAAGTGTGTATACGTGTAAATGTGTAGAACTGATAAAAATTCGTGTTTTGGAAGAAACTTGGAGATTTGCAAAAAGATATACCGATGCAAGATAATTCATAAGACTATGAGTTAGTCATGTGGTATAATCATGTCTCGAAATCCCATCAAATTAAAAATTTATCGCAAAAAGTGTCTTCCGCAAAGTTCGAAAAAATTGTTAGACAAGACGAACATTGAACAAATAAAAACGTCATCTGTTGTTTGTAAAGAAGAATATTTGACTAATAAAAATCTATCGATTATGACTGACACGCAACTCGAATCGGATGTCGTAGACAACGTTTGTCTGCGACAAAAGAAGGACACAAATGCCAGAAGATCAAATTCATCCTCCAGTAAAGATTCACTTGATTCATATATTTTAATAGCATCTGAAGAAATGCCTGCAATATTAAAAGATGCTAACTGGGAAATCGTGAAGTACTGTGATATCACCAAAACTATGCAAAATAATAATACTATGAAAAAGTATTGTAGCCCAAAATGTAGTAGTGCTTGGTTTCTAAAAATTTATCGTGAGATTATGAAGAATTGCCGCAACAAAATTCATCCTATGGTAGTAAATGGGTAAGTTTATATTAAAAAATCTTTTACGTAAAATAAAATAAAAATACTTCTATTTTTTTTATTTTAATAATAAAATTCATCATGATCTCTATATAAAATTATTATGTTAATAGGAACTATTTCACTAAGACACATAATACTAACAAAGTATAATAAATAAATAATTAATATCATTTCTTCTCAATTTACTAAAAAAACTACATTATATTAACAACAGTCACATATTGTTATATAAAAACCGAATAAAAGATTATATATAAATAATATGACACATATTTAAAGATTAATATTAAACATTAATATTCATCTATCAAGGTTTATATATCATATATATATATATATATATATATATATATATATATATGGTGTGTGTCGCTATTTAAAGAATACTATGATAATTCCACATATAATACAGTATGTGCCATAAATGTTAAGTAGATTTATTTTTGAATGCAATCATAATAAATGCATCATAATAGTATTATGAAAAAATACAATCATCACGTACATATGAGATTCTATTTATAAATTTTATAATTTCGCTATCAAATAGTTAATGATGCATCATTATTTCCAGAAATTTATTATCACTGTCTTATCTCCTGAATTAGTAGCATCATATCCGTATGCAAAAATAGTCTGTCCATCCACATTAGAATGTGGCGGATGTTCCACTGTGATAATGCAACTTCTCACGGTCTTTTACGAAGACATTCGATAGATTGCACGTGGTGGGGGAGTTTAAAGACCCTTAAAAGCGCAAGCGGTAAACCTGGTAGAGACTTACTTCGCAGGGAAACACACGTGGATGAGTCATCCAAGTAAATAGTAGTTTGAAGTAACAGGCCCGCGTGCATGGTCGAGTAAACAGCAAAAAACAAGAGAATACGTGTGTATTTTATTTGTTCCGTGATTTCGTTTTTAATATTTATAGTATATTAAAGATACAAATAAATAAAAATTTTAATTAAAATAATCTTACCATATAATTATTTTATCATATAATATTTATCATAAAATTTATGATTTTATAAGATATGTATTAAATACAATAAAGAAAAAATTTACTATGTGCTTATTTAATTCTAATATCGCAATTGTTATCATACAATTGATTTTAAATAGTTAAATCTAATTAAAAGATAATTTTAAATGAAATTCTGATTAACAATTATCGTGCTTATAAAGTATCAAGCATATAATAAACGTTTCTATATCAATGGATAGGTTCTTTAGTTCTGCTGTGAAAAAATATATATATTTTGTTATATATAATTTCTCCATTATATAATTAAAAATTTATAACATTATGCAAACGAACAATCTTTTCAAGTACCTCAAGTATTTTTAAATTTAATTTATTGCTATTTTTATATCATGACCAGAATATATGTGTAACAACAACCAATATCGTCAAGAAATATCCCTTTTAAAATTAGATGTTTATTACGTACATTACGTAATCACGTATATCTTTTATTCAGCCCTACACGAGCGAATGCTACGTGCGTCGCGTGCAGGCGTGCGCGACGATCTTGCGCAGCACGTGTGTGTGGTGGATTTCCTGCAGGCATCGAACCTGAACACAGTAGGGTTCACGACTCCGTGATTCGATATGCCTTTTGTGCCTATTCTCTGGAAAACAATACTTTCAACTTGTCGGATAAGAACATGAGGCTTTCAATGGCGCGACGTGTCGAATAATCATTTCGGTTTTATTGTATATTCACAAATTGCAACACAAATGCAAAAAAAATGCATAACTTATTTTTCATTATAAATAATTATTATTAATAGCTAACCAATTAAAATTGTGAGAAATTAAAACACAGAAACTAATAAGGTGAATCATTGAAGCCATTGAATATGTATAATACATGCGCGATCACAAATTCGTAACAGCTTTAATCCAATCCAAGTAAAACGATATTTTAACGTAAACGCCAGGAACAAGTCCGCAACCATGACCAAAAGAGACGATACCATAAATTGTTTTTTTACTAGCCAATGCTCCTCCCGAATCTCCGAAACAGGCATCTTTTCCTCGAATTCCATAGCACAGATGATAATCATTTTTTACGAGTTTTGCATAATCAGAAGAAACCTTAATGCAGGTTTCAAACGGAACGTAATTTACGTAAACACCCATAAGAGTTACGGCTATTTTTTCCTATAAATTGCATTAAATCGCATTATGTACATTATTACTACTATAATAGCATGAATTAATAAATAATAGCATGAATTAATAAATACTATAATAGCATGAATTAATAAATAAAAAATCCAATAATATTAAAAAATTAAAAAAAAACATCTTTTTTTAAATGTTCTGCAAATATTTTAAAAATGTCTAATTACAATGTCTAATTAGAACAACATTCAATCAAATTAAGAACGTTGATTACTTAAATCCTTATATATTATATATATATATATATATATATATATATATATATAAATTAAATTTACTCACTTTTTCTGTATTTCCCCAACCACAAACTAAGAGTTGATGCTGTAAACTGGAGGTTGATCTCGGTAAACGAATCGGTCGGACAGTTCTCGAAAAATGAAATGATGGTTTCACTTCAAAAAGCGCGATATCGTGATGGAATGTCGAAAACCAATTGTGATATGTAGCGTTGTATATATAAATGTTTGTCACCTTATGCAGAGATCCACCCTTGTCTGTTTTATTAGATCCAGCTCGTACATAATACTGTGATGATGATACCGGAATTCTAAAAAACAATACAAAATATCGAAATTATACAAAATTAATTTACAGTTTTTAATTCATAAATGTTAATGGAAAAGTAACTGAATAATAAATAAACATAAATTTATTAATGAGAAAAGTGTAAATTTAATTACAATTATTTTAAAATCAATAATATATTATAATGTTAAAATCTTATTACAAACAATGGAGAGCAGTGATAGCCCATGTCCTCGATAATATACTAGCACCGCACAGGAATCCATATGAATCATGTAAAGAGAGCTGCAAATATCGTTTTATTCTTGAAATAAACAAATGATAAGTATAGGTAAAAAATGATATTAACCATAAAAGGTCGATATTTTATATCAATTGGCTGTCCTCCAATAATTTTTGGTTGCATTTTATGCGTTGCATTTTCACTCGATGTTTTAATCAGGAAACCTAGAATATGCATGGAGAATGATAAATAACGTGTGGCTAAGGCTCGTATTGAGAATAATGAGACTAAATGTCATTTAATTATTGCTTTAATACTATTATGCGATAATAATATCTGATAATTACTGATAACAAAGGAAATTAATCAACATTCATCTATTGTAAAATGTACATAGTTATTCATACCAGCGAAATAGAGAATAATGACTGCTCCGCGCATTTTTACTGACTGTGTCATGATACAATGTGAACGAATATATGTAAAATATAACGATCCATTTTATCGCGACTGTAAATTTCAAACACGACATATTCCGTGGATATTTAACTGAAACAGATATTGATACTATCGCAGTTACGATATCATAACAATGAAGGCTTAATATGATTTATGTAAGTGTTGTAAAATAATAATTTAAAATTTATTATTTCTTATCATGGGAAGCTCAGTACTTATAAGCGGCCAGTAGATTTATTGTAAAGATTCAAAAATATTCTATTTTCGAGGATTATAAAGCTGTCATTGTGTTTTAGATAATGTAAATGTAACTATTATATATATATATATATATATATATATATATATATATATATACATACATATATATAAATTTAAATAAAAATTAAACTTAGATTTAATACATTTTCAAAAAGTAATATTGTATAATAAATGATACAAATTATTATTTGAAAATTTTTTTTATTAATTTTTATTATTAAAAATTTTTTCTACACTTACATTATTTATAAGCTTAAAGTCCAAAAAATTTTATTACATTATTTATGTGATTTATATTATCTACCCGATATAAAAAAGTCGAATTACAAAAAATAATATCATTTTTACAGAATAAGACATGCAAAAAAATTAAAGACAAAAGATTTTTTAATAAGAATATAAATTTAAAATTTTATTTCTTTCTATTTTAATTCTCGTTTATATTTTGATAATTAACTTAGTGCATATATAATTAATTTTCTTGTTTTGAAAGTATATATATTTAAAAAAATATATATATAAAAGATATGCACATTTTTGTCAAAAAAAAAAATATATTTATATATATATATATATATATATATATATATATATATATATATGTTTTTAATGCTGTAATATTGATTTCACAAATAAAATACTTTATTAAATCAAGAAACTTAATTGTTTATTTATAGATATATTTATGATAAAATTCATATACAATCATCATATCAATGATTTCCTCGGAAGCTTCAAATATCAAAGAAGGAAGATTCTTAATTACATCAAGTTTTGTAAAATTAATTAAAAGCAATAATCTACGTTCAGATGGCTAAAACTCATTCTCCCTCCAATTCTTCAAAATTAGATTCATCTTTATGTTCTCCCAAACAGAACAATGTAGAAATAAAACTAATAGTTTCCATAAACATAGTTACCAATAACAAATTATTTGCAAGATTTGCTAAAGTGCTTTTACTATTTCTGGTTTGCACTCTATTTACGTAATTCATGAAACGCATTAATTTATCGAAGGCCTCATTAGTCTCTTTTCTTATCTCTGTAATAATATTATATATATATAATTAATTTATAAAAACTTTTGATAGCAATACGAACTATTAGTTTTCTAGATTCTTTTACAAATTTAAACAAAACAACAAATTTAAACAGAACAAAGGAACTTACTTATTTAAGGAATTACTATTTATAAGATAAAACACATATCTTTTCTTCTCATAATAATTAATATAAATATATAATAATTAAAGTAAGTACTAACGATTTTTTCTGCGATATATTACAAGATGTTTAATTTCATTATTTTTATCATAAATATCGTTGTCTATCATTGAGTCATCTGAATCTGTTATATTAATCGATGGAACATCAGTAGAAATTGACATATCGATATCTGAATCATCCAAATTTGCGCATCCGAATAATTCTAAAAGTTTTGTCATCCATTTAGACAAGCAAACAAGGATTTGAGTCTGCCATGATTCCTTGAAAGAATTTCTAATATCTTGAACAAGGAACTTTTCCATCGCTAACATGGAACGATGGAAGTTACCAATCGCAAATATCGTTTTTTTTAATACTCCCTTTTTATATAGATCCAATGATACAGATATTTTTTTGTATCTAAAAAGAAAATTATAAATAAGTGCATAATTAAATTTATTAAATTTAAAATTACACATATCGTAATTTTTTTAAAATATCATAAATTTTATCGTGAAAAATAATATGATTAAAACTGACGTAGTACATTCTGTACTGCAGAATTAATAATGTATTAATTATTAAACTATTATATTTATGAGATTATAAGAAAGTATTAATTAAAAAATATTAAAACAAGCAACATAATTAATTTATCTTATTACTTTTAAAAACTATATTTTTTATCTGATTGATATTTTTTCAGACATATAATGGGATGCAATAATAATTGATATAGTTATTGAAAGAATAGCCACTTAATTTATTTTAATATATTTTTCTGATTTGCATTTGTTCAGTATACATTTATAGCGAATATTATTACTGTGTCCATTATATGACTTATTAAAAGTTATCATTTACCTTATAGCTGTTTTCTTGTCTTTAATATAATTTTTCGAAAGCGTATTCAATTTTCTGCGACCTTCATTGTAAATCATGAAATACTGACACACGTCATATATAAATTGTCTTCCCCATCTGTTTCGAGAGAGAACGTTTCCGAATTCATTTGCGACACGACGAACAGAATTAGATATTCGACGGCCCAGAATCTTTTCGTAAATATAATTTACTCGTCCCGTCGTAGTCCTTGGTAATTTTCGATCGAAATTGCAGAGAATGCTTGCGCTGTCATCTTCATTAATATAAGTTTTACAATCACTTAGAGTTTCAATAGCGGTTAACCATGGTTCGGCAAAAAGTGTACGATGAACGATTATTTCGCGCGAGTTTTGCCTCGATGATAACGCGCAAACTATGAGACATTGCAACTCTTTGATACAATTGTCATGATCATTGGCTTTTTTAATCAATGAATGACAAAGTAGAGCATACAATTTTTCATTGGCCGTATCATTAGTTAGTGTAAAATAGGAGAATGTTGATTCTAAATTGAACTTATGAGTTTTTACATTACTGCTAGGTGAATCTCTTATTAAGTTTACGAGAGTTTGAGCAAGATAACCAAATGTAAGATTTCTTCTTTTCTTTACCGACAATAAACATTTGAATAATTTTTCGTTAAATGTAGCGGCATCGTTTATAATGTTTAGAACCTTGAAGCTTTGTATCGTTTTGCGTGGTAATAATTCCTAACAAAAAAATTTATATATACATATTTTTCAATAAATAAATAAATATATAAATATGTATGAAATAAATTTAAAAAACTATACATATATACATATATAAAATATCTAATATTATTCTTTTCTATGTATGTTGTAAGAAAAAAAAATATAATGCTTCTTGAAAAAATAAATTATTACCATGAAGCATTACATGTTTTTTTTCCTTACAACATGCATAGAATAGAATAATATTAAATATTTTATTTTAAAAGAGAAATATAGCTCATCACACATATTTATAAAATATGTCACATAAAATAATTTATTATTTAAATACAAACTTACCTTGTGCTCGTATAAAGTCACATTATACCTATTGAAATAACGATCGATCGTGAACCAAACTTTCTCTCCTATTCTAACGACATCACATAGTAAAAGTGATCCTTGAACCAAACTTTCGGTAAACCAATTTTCAGAGATTGTAGAATTCCATGGTGTTTGTTCGAATTGACGAACTGATGTAGTTAATCCACTAGCTCGGGCAAACCCCATAATTTTTGTTCGTATAATCTTGCTTATATCACTAATCGTATTTTGCAAATTGTCTCCATTAGAAGATGATATTCTTAACGTTATTGGATGATCAATTGGCCCAGTCAATCTTGTCAGGAAATGTTTTATCGTTGTTTCCGCATCTTGAATCTGTTTTGGATTTATTAAAACGAATGACGTATCATCCGATTGATTTTTTTGAAATCCTGTCCACGCATTAACATTATCATAATAAATACGCTTCGCCGTCACATAAGATATTGTAGTTTCTATAGAAGTACAACAATGATTATTGATTATCGATTTAATTATTATTGATATTGAATTAAATAATATATTTTTTGCCTTATATACTTACCGAAGAATAGAAAAAATGTTATTAATTTGCATCGCATGTTTGAACTAATTACAAATAACTAGCCCGTTTGTACGATCTCTCTCAAATATGTGATGCATTTCATCCAGAACAGCAAAATATTTCTTGTAAGTTTATTTCTATTTATCGCTTTGTAAGTCGTATGTCAGCATACATCATAAAACCTTAAAATTTATGCACTCAAGCAGACATTAATACGTGTTGTCTCATAGACAAAGTATTGAAGTATAATACAAAATTTATATTCGAGATTATACGAAATAATAACTAGTATAATAACATTTATAATTTTTGTAAAAAATTAACGAAAAAAAATAAAACTAACATTCTCATATTATAGTGCTGCAATACATATTATTGATATTTGACAATGCTATAACAGAACTATATGTATAGCATCAAGCGAAATGGCGCCTGCGTTCATGCACCACAACGATCGGGACGCCAGTCTGGGTAGCAGCTTGCTAGGAATCAATTCCATGCACAGGTACTGGTCTAAAATTAGTTAGAATGCATTATTTTCTTCATAAAATTGACTTTCATATTCCGATAATTATTGTGTTAATGAGAAAGGTGAGATTAGATATTCTTTGTATTTGTTATGTTTTAGATTTTGTTGTAAAAGGTTATTGACTGATTAGATATATCATCATATCAGAATATTATCTAACAATTGTTAATACTTGTAAGAAAAATATTTTTCATATAAATTTATTCATATTTTGAATGTATCAAATTGATAGTTTTGCTACAGTAAATTTTGATAGAC